TAACGACGATATTCACTGACGTGACAAAAGTTCATACGAGATCATCATCAGACGGAAAGCATCTCCGACGACGAGATGGTGCCCCGATGGGGCGCGGAAATTGCGAGAGAAAATCCAGATAAACGCACGCAATTGCATTGTTTTTATTTTCCTAGTGGGCGTTCCTCCTTCCTCCGTTCTTCTCGTTCCGGGAATGCGCGCAGAATTCATTCAGAGGCGATACATGCGCGCTCGCCTGACACACGCGCTTTTTCTCGTTCAGCTGGATCGAAACAATGTCGCTTCCGCCGTATAGCGCGACAGAATGAGCGCGATAATCCGATTCTTCGGCTACGGTGAATCGAGAAACGCTCCACATCAGCCGTGATATTTCGCGCTTTCGTGGCGAGAGGTATCCCCCCCTCTCTCTCTCTCTCTCTGTCCCTCTTGCTCGGAGCAGCCTCCTCCTCCTCCTCCTCGCGCGGAGGCGCGGAACGTGTGAACGCCGAAACCTTTTATGACGGCTTGATTACGGGATTCCGGGGATTACGTGTGTACGCGCGTATTTAAATCCGAGTGCAAACCCCAGGCGCACATCTGCGTCTTCGGCCCTTCCCTTCCCTTCGCGCTCTTTCCCGTCACGCACGAAACGAGCGAACGTGCGCGCGCGCGCACACACACACGCACGCACGCACGCACGCACGCTACTTCCTCTCATTCTTTCTCTCTCGGCCGCCGCCGCCGCCGTTCCTCTCGCCTCCTCCGCGTTTTGCTTTCAGGCTCGTTGCCTTCCTTTGTTCCCGCGGCGAAACGGAGTGACTGGAGGAAGATGAATACGAGTCGTCGCAAATGAATCGCGAGCGCGCACCGAGTCTAATTTTAAGCCACGACCGTAACCTTACGACCGCGGATCGCTTGCGATCTCCTTTATTTCTGCCCGTTGCAAAAGCACCGGCCGGCGAAAAACATTACCGCCGGTGGCTGGGCGCAAACGTGAGAAAGAAAGAGGAGCGACAGCGAGAGCGAGAGCGAGAGCGAGAACGCGAGAGAGAGAGAGAGAGAGAGAGAGAGAGAGAGAGAGAGAGGAGAGAGAGAGAGAGGCGAGAGAGAGAGAGAGAGAGAGAGAGAGAGAGAGAGAGAGAGAGAGAGAGAGAGAGAGAGAGAGAGAGAGAGAGAGAGAGAGAGAGAGAGAGAGAGAGAGAGAGAGAGAGAGAGAGAGAGAGAGAGAGAGAGAGACGACGAAGAGAAGCCGACCCTCTCTGTTGTCGTTTGCACGTTCGTCGTGTTGCATTCGGAGCAACGGCGTCCTTTTTCCGCGCGATCTGTATCGTTAAATCGGAGACCAAACGGTCGAGGGCACGTGAGGAAACCGGCAAACAGAGCGAGCCGCTCGCCTCTCAGCGCAGTGCTCGAGCGCAGGACAATACCGAAAATTTTATTTAAGAACGCATTTGCATACTGTGTGCACGTGTCTGTATGCGTTTCATTCTACGTCGTTGGAGCGAAGTTTGCCGAGACGAGGTACCTTGCATATCGCGGTACCTCGCAACCAATTTATCCATTATCTATTTGCAGCACCGCTTGTCTGTGCGGATTTGCGGAGCTGAGAGTACGCCGGGACTCGAGGAGAGATCGATAATTTAACCGGTTAAACTTATTGCAACCGAAAGTAATCTCGGGTGCTTCGGCTGCACGAATCCGACGTTCTTACGTCGCTACAATTTTCCGAAAGCATGTGCGCGACAGATGGACAAGAGATCTCGCCGTGAAAACGGCGCGCACATTGTCGCGTAAGATTATTACAACACAAAGGCAAGATTGTATCAATGTCGACCGGACGAGTTTAGGAGTGACTTCAAAGCGATGTCTTTGGAACGGCTCCACGAGAGAGAGAGAGAGAGGGGGGGGAGAGAGAGAGAGAGAGAGAGAGAGGGAGGGATGGAGGGAGAGAAAGAGAGAGAGGGGGGATAGGGGGAAAGAAGGAGAGAGGGAGAGAGAGAGAGAGAGAGAGCAGACGCAAAGAGGCCCTCGCGCGAGATTCGCGCGCGCACAATACGGTAGAATTTGATTTCCGCAAATAACGGCGCGATAACGGCCAACTTGCGAGCCGCTCTTCTCGCGGTCGCAAAAACGACGAGAGAGCTCGGCCGGACAGGCTGAATGGATCGGCGCGATCGGTAGCTGGCCGCCGGATTTATCGCCGGCATGTGCGACGTCCGACGCAGACGCGCTGATGAATGACGCATTCAGCGGGAGAATCGTCGTCGTCATTCGCGAGAGCACCTTCGCGAGTGATATCACGTTATTATAAAAGCGGCGCGCGCTCGCGAGTCGTCAACGAGCGGGAGGTGTGTGTTCGTGTGTGATTCAGCGCCATTACCTCGGATCACCGAGGCGTAATTGCGTTATGTAACGAGAGAGACCGCGCGCGGATTACGACGCCGGAACCGATCCCCCTCCCCCCGCTCCCAGCCCCGGCCAGAGAACCAGTCGCTGCCGGCCGCGAAGGAACATTCACTTCTCGCTCACGACTCGTAATCATCGAAAATAGCGCGCAACGTTTCCCGGCCGCGCCGCACCGCGCCGCGCTGCGCTTCCACGCGTCGCGCGATCGTCGTCTTCCTCGACACACTCCAATTGTCGAGATTAGATTCCTATCGGTCCGCTGGAATGTGCACGCGCGCGAGTCGGCGAGATTTCGTCGAGCGACTATCGATCGGAAATCTGGGGGACTTGGAAAAACAACGATATATATGTGTGTGTGTGTGTGTGTGTGTGTGGAAATTTTTGCGAATTTTCCGAACGAGTCGAAGGGATAGTTTTGTTGTTTGCAGCTTCGGGAAACCCGAGCGGTCCGAAAAATGGCGGAAACGCGCGTTTGAAGCAGCACGCACGATCGCGATGAATGCGTCGGATTTTTTATTCATCCCGTTCGCGGGGATGAAGAGGATGAGTCGAACCTTTCGCCGCTTAATATCGGCGTAAATATTTGCGCTCAAGCCGCGCGCCGCCGGAGAGCACGACGAATTTGACGCAAAATCACGTCGTCCTCGTTACAATGCTCGACCTCCGCTGCGTTCGTAATGCCTCGTAAATACAGCCGGTTAAAGGGACCGGCATTCATTTTGAGATCCATATCGGAGCGCGTACGGTACGGCGTTTATGCCGAGGCAAGGGTCGTAAACGATTAGAGAGCGCGACGCGTGTGTATAAACGTCTGAAGCGGACAAACTTGCGCTCGGCGTTTGTCCGCGAGAGGAAAATAACGTCGTGCAATCACCGGACGACAGCGCGTCTAAAGGCCATCGCACACAAACGAACTTAAGCAGTAAGACGTAAGCAGTAAGCAGCAAATCGAGACCAATCACAATCGAAATTTAAGGACGCTATTTTAAAACTTACGAGAACAATCGATTGTGATTGGTCAGTTTCTTTACTTACGTCTTACTGCTTACGTTCATTTGTGTGTGACGGTCTTTAATCGTCCAGAGCGAGGCTTCCGCCGATCGAAACGCCAAACACGTCTTTCGAAATTTCGGACGCTCTGCCGGGCGCACGAGCAAACGTGAAGTTTTTCCCCGTCCAATTTCGAGCCCTATTTTCAGAAGCGTAACCATCCTGAAAGATATCACATCTGCTTTCGTCGTGAAAACGGAAAGGGGGAACTTTATGGTCTACCGGCTGAAAACGACATGTCACTCCACTGATGAAACATTGATGAGGACATTGGCAATAGATATAAACACACACACACACACATACGTAAACAACGCGCGTGTACTCGCGTATCCCGATGTAAATATTTACGGTGAGATCTTTGGAATCAAATCAAATTCCCGGAAATGTCTTATTTCCTCAATAACAGGTTAGCGCGCGACGTGTTGCGACGCGAAGTGCAAAATGAATTGTGAGCTGCATTTAAGCGTTAAATGCGTCTCGAGTTGAAGTCACATTCAATATGGTTGAAATATATGAAAACGAAAAGCGACCGAGAGAATCCAAGTAGAAATTTGACTTCTACACTGGCTCTGTCAGTTTCATCGAACTTGAACGAGAAAGAAATTTCGAAATTAGGTGTAACGTAAGATATATATATATAGTCGTCCCAAATTACTAAATTAACAAATAACTAATTACAGTGGTTCCCTTCGCGTTGGAGCTTAAAAATTAATAAATATGTAACGTGTATATCTGTGTATGTATATATGCATGTGTGTGTGTGTGTGTGTGTGTGTGTATAACAAATTATTTTATAGTTTGTCCGCATTATCATGTTTCGTGAGAAAATTTCGGTAGAACTTGGAGCTTCGAGCGAAAAGAGAGAGAAGGAAGCGGGGTAGTGAAGGCAAAGATAGCAAGATAGTCGAGAGTAAGCAGACAAATAGGGATTTAAATTTAGATTCGGCGCAATAACAAGGTCGAACTCGGCGTAAAAAGGCGTTGGCAGACTGAGAAAGAGATACGCAGCTCAAGTATCACCGGAGAGCGTCATCGGCGGCACAGCCGAGAGCGGCCGCGAAAATAAGACTCCACGACTTTGGACACAAGCGGAACGGTCGCGCCATTTCGCGCGCGTCTCGCGTGTCGCAGATGAGCTTCGACTTTGTTTCGCCTCGCGCTCCCACAATGTTGACTGTGTATTCGCCTCGAAACCGCGCGATTCGAGCGCGAGACGGCTAACCAGCCGTCCATGATTTATAAACGCGCCCGTACGCCCCGACGTATTCCGACGTCGACGACGACGACGACGATGCGCGCACGTCGGCAAAAATCCAGCGAGTTTTTCATACGCATTTAGCGCTGAAACGCGCGCGTCGCCGAGAACGCACATCCTTGCGGCGGCAGCAACGACAACGACGACGGCGTCGCGGCGATGCTCGTTATTGAGCGGGCCCGAAAACGCCGTACACTTTCGTGCGCGTGCACGTACGACGAGGAGAGGACGACGCCTTTCGGCGTCCCTTCGCGAGAAGGGCAGCCGCGCGCGCGACAGAGCGTCATCGGCACATTGTGTCTCTCACCTTTCTCAATGGCGAAGTCCCGGTACGTGGCTGTCGAGGCCGCGATGACGACGATAGCAGAGGCAGCAGGAGCAGCAGCGCGGCGGCGATGCGGTAATCCAATATGGCAGCTCACACACATGTCAAAACAAACGCACCGAGCGCGAACGGAGCGCGCAACCGAGGAGACGTGCTCCGGATTCGGATTCGGATCGTCCTGCCCGACAACGTCGAGAACCTCCCCGCGGCGGCACGTGCTCGACGCGGCACGTCGCGTCGCGTCGCGTCGCGTCGCGACGTCGGTGCGAGCGTCGCGCGGAAAATCACTGTCGTCGTTCGAACGCTGCGACTACGAATGACGTGGGAAAGCGGACAGATATATATGTATATATAGAGAGAGAGAGAAAGTGAGAGAGAGAAAGAGAAAGAAAGAAGGAAAGAGAAAGAGGAAAAGAGAGCGAGCGAGAGAGCAGGGGAGAGGTAGAAGGGGGCGAAAACACTACCCCGCGTTACAGCACGATACGCACACCACGAGCGCCCGCCGCTGACTGCCAGCGAGACGCGCGACGCCAGGCAGCGAGGCGCAGGTGAAGGGTGGGGGAAACGGCGCGCCTCAGTGACGCTCAGCCGAGACGGACGCTTTAAACCTTCAACGGTCACCCTTGGTTTTGTTTTCATACTTCCCACGTGCTGCTTTTCCTGTGTGCTCTTCGCTTGTTTTGCTCGGCCTCGAGCTCGAGAGTACTCCTACGCGTATGGCGCGCGCGTTTGACTCTCTTCCAGGTATTCGCGAATTTCCCCTCGACGTGTACGTCAAGTGGACCGGACAAATAGAATCCGCGAATGGAGTCCGAATGGTGTACACCTTGTCGGCCGCGTCCGCTTATTTTTGGGTCGCGGTTTAATACGTATAACAAGGCGACTGTTTAATGTTGAGAAGAATGACACGTGCACGTGGTTGTCGAGCGTATTGTAACGAGAGAGAAAGAGAGGGAGGATATACATATACGGGAAGCAATTTTTATTGCTTATCCAAACGTTTTCGGAGCAGCACCCCGGTAGTATTTTAGAAACGCCCCAGCGGCGACTCGAATATTCATCGCGCCTTTTGCTCTATATGTTCGACTTTCCGCACGATGTTCGCTGCATTGAAGAAACATTTTCTTTTTTTCACCGCCGCAATTTTGCGTGATATCGTGGATGATGAAGGGCGATAATTCCGTATTTCGCAGAAATCCGTTCCACGAACGGAGCCCGACGATTAAAACGTGCAGGGCTCGCGGCGTGTTCAAACTTGCCGAAACTCAATAAAATAATTACGTCTAATATAATACACAAGCAACAGAGGAGGACGCAAGAAACAACGGCTGGTACAGGCGGGTGTGTAGGAGTTACCGCGCAAAACCTGCAGGCATTAGCCGAAAGGCAACCATTAGAACGAGAGTCACGAGCAAAAACGGCAGCCGCGTGGCTAGGCGGATTTAAACGCGAGAGCCATTCGATACCGATCAAGAGGGAGCTCAATTACGTGAATTAACGATAGAATTCGATCGAATGTGCGCACTCCTCCGACGACAAAGGGAATTCGGGTTGCGTTGTAATAAATATCGAAATGAATCTCACGAGATACGTGAAGGAAAAAAGTTTCACGTGAGATAGAAAATAAAATTGTACGAAGTAATATATTATCGCTTCCTCGTTCTCCCTCCCTCTCTCTCCGCTCTTCTATTTTCATTGCAAATTACCCCTCCGAGTTATCAGTACCCACTCCGCAACGACGCACGTCACTTTCGACGATAAAATAAAGTTCGTTCGGATTACCTCACGATAAATATCGAAGAGAACCTTGGTAACGGGAAATATAAGAAAAATGTTATGTTTCACATAAAATGCACAATAAAATCGTGCGAGATCAATTGTCTCTCTCTGCCTCTCTTCCTCTCTTTGCAAATTACCGCTCCAAATTAATACGCGCTCCGACAACGTGCGTTACTTTTGGCGACAGACGAAATTCGCGTTGCGTCGCAATAAATTCCAAAAGGAATCCTGATAACGGAATAAATGTTTCACATAAAAATACGCAATAAAATCGTACAGAATTCTATATTATTTCTCTTCCTCTCCTCTCGCTCTCGCTTTTCTTTACAAATTATCGTTCCAAGTTATTAGCACCCACTCCAACGAAGCACGTCACTTGTTGAACACATGTCGAAGCGCTAATTTCCGTGTGGCACGAGCAGAGAGAGAGAGAGAGAGAGAGAGAGAGAGAGAGAGAGAGAGAGACAAAGATAGAGCAATCAGCCGCGGTCGAGGGAGGTCGTCACAATCTGGCGACACTCATCTTCGCACAATGCGCACATCGATTCGTCCTCGAGCAGGATCCCCCAGGTGTGTGCATGCACCGTATCCCCTGTTCGCTTCCGCCTCCCCCGCCCCCACTGACTCGCGAATGAGCCATTTAACGGTCCTGCTCCACATTTTCGCGACACGTTCAGCCGGGCGCTCGGGGAACTCTCGGCGGAGCGGCCGCGTCGAGGCCGCTGCTCGTTTCCCCGTTCAGACGTTAATACGAGGCGGAAGGAAATCGATGCGGCGGCGGTCGGCCGCCGCCTCTACCGTCGCCGTCGCCGTCGCCGTCGCCGTCGCCGTCGGGGGAAATTCGGCGCGGTTTTATAGGTGCGTTAAATACGACAAACGGTGCGTTACGACGGCGCGGCCGAGCGCGATTTACACCTAAACCTGCGCGGCGTCGCGCGGAAATGCTCCGAGCACGCGGCCGCTCTTGGTCTCGGCGAAATGTTAACGAACTCGACCGCGCCCCGGTAACGAGGCGCGAACGGCGAAACTGCGCAATTTCCGCACACACGCGGGTTATTGCCGAGAGCGGTCGCTCGTGCCCGCGAGCGAACGAGCGCGCGCGCGCGCGCGTTGCTTCGGCTGGAAATTAAACGAGACTTAATAATCGACCGTAGCGTGTGCAACGTTCGTAACGTGTTGCACGAGGGCGCGAAGGACTGAGGGGGTCGACCTACCCCCTCAGCGCTCGCTCAGGCTGAAGCGGCACGTGGACGCGCGGGTAGATTTCCACGCTGCCTCCCGCGACGACGATCTTCGGTTTCCCCGGATCGGTCCCTCGACTAATTTCGAAGCACTTCTCTCGAGTTTTAGCGCCCGTACTCAGCGGGTGAACATTGCCGCGTTCCGGTCAACGTGACAAACGGCCTTTGACGTTCGCGACGAGATTCCGGGCGCGCGGTATTTCTCCCGATACACCGCCGCCCGCGCTGCGCCGCGCGTGTCGCGCGAAATTTCCTTTCCGTGTCGATCGCGCGTCGCTCCCTCGTCTCTGTGTCGCGCTCCGGGGGTGAGGCGGGGACAAGCGCTCGAGTTGCAATTTTCATTCTAATTTCGACCTCAGCATTCCACTCCGCGCTAATTCGGTACTCTGAAGCGTACATTCAGCGGTTCGGTTCTGTTTAACCCGCGGCTTTGCCGAGAAGCCCTCTTAAGAACTTACAAATGGCAAATTTCATGTCGTTTAGAGGAGCCGAGTGTATGGGACTTTGGTTTCTAAATGAAATCTCCGTCTCTTCGAGGGTTTATTGATGTGGCAGCGAGTTGAGACCGAGCGAAGTTGAACGCGCACTGAAATCGAGCACGCGCAGGGTGACCTAATTAATTTGACACGCAACAATGCAACTGGGTCATTAGGATATCGATTTATCCACTGATTGTTGCTATTGTGTGAACGATGATAATTATTATTATTATGAAGAAGCACAAACACAAGGCAGTGGTAATCTCTGTAACGTTAACGCACTGTACATCGAAGCTAAAAGTAGAACGAAACTGTTATTTCCAAATTTTACCGTCAAGCTCGATGGAACTCGCAGAGGCCGATTTTTCGGCAGCGAAACTTCGACGAGTTCGAAATGGAAGCGCGAGTGCGATTAAAAATTCTTTTGCGTGTGGAAAATATCGTTCAAGTCGAGCGTAAACTCGACTACAAAGGTACGAGCGGGCGGAAAGTAATTGGCCAGAAAACCGAAACAATTAAAGACCGAGGGATGTTAAACGCATTCAGGCTTCCCCCTGCTCCCCCCTGCGTTGTCGGTTGCAGCGGCTGGTCAAGAGAGATCAATGCAGTCGCGAGGGATGAGATAAGTCGCGACAGTCTCGTTACTCCGCGGACGGAATTAACGGGCTACAAACGAGACTGACTGACTAATCTAGGCGTCCCGCCGTTGTTTTCGTTTGCATTTTACTCAGAGGAAAAATTTCCGCGAAGTATCCGCACCGCACCTTAAAGGGCGAATCGCGCGAACGCGAGATCGGTAAATCGATACGCTCGGCTATCGCGCCGCTTTTTCTCCGGATACAACGGCGTAATTGAGAATGTGAGGGCGCATAGATTACGCAACGTTGTCTCTCTCTCTCTCTCTCTCTCTCTCTCTCTCTCTCTTTCTCTCTCTCTCGAATAAAATAACACAAGGCGAAAAGTACGCCGACTAGAAATTTATTCCATGGTCCTGATCAGGTTAACCTCATTTGGACATCAGATTCCAATAAGGTAATACTATCGGATTCTAGTAAGTCATGTAGCGTGGATATCAGTAAGGATTCATAGTCAGGTCCTTATTGAGTTACCTTATGGAATCCTTATTACGTTTTTTTTTTTTCTTTCAAATTATGGCTCCTGATTACTCGCCACGGCTATATTCGATGATGACATTAGAAATAAGAAATGACACGCTGAGAATTCTTTCATGTCATTTCCAAATAAAAAGATATTTGCATGAAATAATACTTTAGATCGCTCGAGCATACTTGTAAAATGTTTCGGAAAAGAAACATAAAATGAATGTCATAAGATCATAAAGTATCACAAGGTGACAAGAAGTATAAAGTAGTGTTAAAGAGAAAAGTTGCGTGTCGCGTTAATTTTACAACTATTTATTGACTGCTAAAGAAAGGACAGTTTCTATAGCATTTTACAAATATATTCAAGTGATCCGAAGTGTTTTTTCAGTGCAAACATCTTTATATTTGATGAAATGACACCCAAAAATTGTTCTGTTAAAACTTGATAATGCAAATCATATTAAGTATGTAAGTACAATGAATAAGATCCCGACAAGGACCTGATTAACTGAACCATATAATGTCATACACTAAGTTGGTACATCAAGGTCCTAATGCGGAGCCAATCATTATAACCTTATAAAGCTCTTCCTTACTCATTTGTCGTTAGGAAATTATAAGGACTGACTTACTTAGGATTACCTTTCATTCATCCTATTAGGCTCCTTATCAATGTGATAGGTGATCAAAATTTCTAGTCGGGATCCTGTCTAATCGTCGTGCAAACTCCCGAAACGGAAATTCCGCAAAGTCCCGATAAGCAAGAGATGCATAAATCGACGTTCTCGCTTGCTGGAGCCAACTCGTCGTTCATTAGTGCCTCGACTGACTCTGCCATTCTCTCTTTGCTGCCAATTCGCTGCGAAGGAGGCATTCTTATTGCCGTAAAACCAACAGCGTTCTAA